ATTATTATTATTATCATCATTAGTAGTAGTAGTAGTAGGTTCTTAGTTACGGATCAGGACGTTTTCTCTCTTCCGATTCTAAAATAACGAACCGTTTACAATGTATTGATGCGCTTTAAACTGAACTCTCCTCACCAAGCAGTCTCCACTTTCACAGACCTGAATGTAGACTGTAGGACTAGCCGTGCACAGTGTAGGATTCGAAATCATGACCTCAGTCTGTAAGCTGTGGAAGATAATTCCGCGCGACACCCTGATAAAGTACACCATTGTCACCGCATCTCTTCACCTTCTCAGTTTTACACTGGCCTCTTCTTCCTCCAATTGCTTGAACTTCAGTAACCGCAGTAAATAAGCACGTCGCAGAAGACGATTACATCATCATCATTATCAGACAATCTGAGACTTTGTTACTGTGATGCTTTCTTTTTAATAAAAATTTATAATGGCGTTAAACATTTTGCCTCACTGTCAGAAAGGGTTAGTATAGTGTTTCTGCTCAAGATTTCGTAATTTTTCTATGACAGATTTCTCCTCCCATCACTGTCTTCCTGTTAGATGCGCTTCTGCTGTTAGTGCAGTTTGTCAATTAATAGTTATTTTAGAACTTTTTCTTTTACCTTAAATGGCACCAAGTGATATAAGTTGTTTTGTTCTGTCCTTGTGTTTATTATTCCGTTTGTGCTGACTCTGTAACTGGCCCCGTTGCCGTTAAGTTCGTTCAGTACATAAATAAACAAATAAATTATTATTATTATAATTATTATTATTATTATTACTGTTACTATTGCCTCGTACTTCAATCTGACATTAATTCCGTGAGTAATTGTACACTGCTAACTCCATGAGACCTAATATTGCTAAAACACCTGTTATGCCATACACCAGGGAAATATTTTCTGTGTTACGAGTATTAGCTTTGTCATGCTACCATTACACGCACCAGCACTATTAAGGATGTTAGTGTTTTCTTCGATTCTACCTTACATTTTCATAGTCATGTTGATCACGTGTTTTCTGAGTGCATAACGTTTTTGGCCTTATTGGCTCCATAACCTACAGATTTTCCTCCCTGGAGTGTCTGTATGTACGATACTTTACTTTAGTCAGGCCCAAGTTGGAATATGCCTCAGTAGTTTGGAACTCCATCACCTCGACTGATGCCAATAAGCTTGAGCGCATCCAGCAGAAGTTTGCGTCCGTCTGTTTCTATCGTCTCTTCCCTCGTATTTCATATACTTATACATATGCCTTAGAGAAATTAAGTTTACAATCTTTACGTAAACGGAGACATCACCTTGATGCATATTTTTTTATTCAGGTCTACCGTGGGTTTAAATCTTGCTCTTCACTTTTGGAAAACATTAGCCTTCGTGTTCCTCCCAGCAACCTTAGGGGCTTCCCATGGTTTGGTGTTTGACGCTCTAATAAACACTGTCCTTCTGCTCGGGGACGCCTATGCTGCCAAGATCTCTACATATTTGCAGTAAGAGCCCTTTCTGCCGGTCATATTTATACTCATCAACATAAAATTGTTAATAATATTTTTTCATACTTTTACTATTCTGTTTTATGTCGTTCTTAGTTATCATGTTCTTTTTACCACTCCTCATCTTAATTTGTTTGTTTGTTTACTTTTCTGTATTTACGTGTTCTTCTTTCCAGTGCTTGCCTGTAATTTGTCTTTGATTTCATGTTTTGTTCGTCCATAATGTAATTAATTGTATCTACACTTTGCTCTGTCTGTAATTGGTCCTGCGGTTGTTGACACATAAATAACAGAGGTTTGAATTATTGTTATTATTATTATTCTTATCATCATCATCATCATTGTTATTCAATGTCTGCTCCTCAGGCAAAATTGCCCATTTTTAGATGCACTTAAGCTGCCGATGTTGTTGGCAAGAGATGTTGACGTATTTGGAGCCGAAACTGATTTTCTGAAGCATGTTTCACATTGGTGGGTTCTTTATATTAAAATATTTATTTTGCACAACATATATATCAATTTATATACACTTTTCTAGCCACATGATGGCTGGAATATTTGCACTTTTTAATTTCATTATTGTCGAAGCGCCTTGGTTTGGTTTGTCTCTGTCTGTCTGTACATGTCCTGGAGATTATTTTGCAACTGACCATCAGGTTCTTGTGTAAGCATATAAATAAATACAGAATTAATTAATGTTATTATATATTTATATGTTTAAAAACTATATTGTTCCTTGCTGTCATTTTAAATTAGCCATGGTTCTCCCAATCTTTGAAGTACAGTTACATGTACGTCCATTGCTAGGCAACGTTTTGGTAAAGGAGTTCCCTCGAAGACAAATTTTCGATAAACAGTCCATTGCTAGATACTCAGCACTAGTGGAGGCTGTTCTTTTTATGTCCTCCACGTCAAGCAAAAGTAAACGGTGTTATGCAATCCGTTTCAAAGCAACCGAAGTGTAAACACGTCTACAATAGTAGGTGTTTTCCGTAGTATCTGTGCAGAATGCCTATAAGAGAAGTGAATTCAGACGCCAGCTCCGTTCAGGGCATTACAAAGGAATAACAGCGGCAGAAGCACGCAAACAAGCAAGCAAAGAGAGGACGAATGCGAATTTGGGGTGCAGAAGAGCACAAGAGGTCAGTCTGCGAAGGCTTTACGTGTGTTAGAGTGCAGTGGTATTGGCAGTGTGTGTGTAAGGAGACTTTATAATTACTGTGTTATACGTAGCTTCATGAAGACTAGTGGAGACAGACTGAAGAGATTAGTGTGGAGTGATTATAAATTATGTAATTCAGCAAAAGTGTTATAATTAATTGTAGTTACAACTTGTAGTTTATCGATGAATCCAATTAGCACTCCAAACCCGCGTGTTTTTCACAGATACAAGTGACAGTACTAATCGTATTCAATGTAAACGCACTGTATTATTTTACTTTTCTCACTTCTTAATCATAACTTCGATTTCTGTTAATATGCCTTCTTTCTTATTTTTCCCTTCTTTAGTCGTGCTTGATTTGTAATTGGCATCCGGGCTGCTAAGTCTGCACGTAAATAAATAAGAGTTGAAGTGAAATAAATTATTATTACTACTTCACAATATCAGGGGCCGCAGTCTAAGGAGCATATTGCACTGGATTTCTTGATCAAATCCCACTTGAAGTACGTGCCTGTGCTTCCGTGCTGTTCTTTCTAGATCGTCTGCTTTCACAGATATGACAGGACCCGAATTGGGCCTCAGAAAACTAATTAGCAATAATGTGCCATAACTAACTTTTAGAAAACTTACGTTGTTATGACCTGGAAATTTTAAATTCAAGAACATTTCACATTTAGCCGGTATATGAAAATGTGTGGCTGTCATATCACATTTTCTTCGCTTCTCTTCTCTGTTCACTATGGCTGTAGTGAATACTCACCGACATCTCCACACTGGGATGGTCGATAAAGATCATCTCGGATTCCTCTCCGTCAAGCAGAACTGAGACCGTCTTCTCTCCGAACTCGTCATCTGCAGCAAGCAAAAAGAGACCTGAGCAGATGGTTCACACGGACTGAATGGTGGGCCTATAGTCAGCCAGCTCTGTACTCTACATATCAAAAAATGAAATCATGACTTGTAAATTACTCTTAACATAACCGAATATAATTTCTGTAAATGATTTTAGATCAGAAGTTGTATTGTCCCATAAAAGCAATACATCCTACGTGAAGGCAACAATGAGAGACCCATTCTAATAGATAGGCCTGAATTTAAAACATCTTTAGCCTCCGGAGTAAGCAAAACTGAAATATTTGAAATGTTACCTATTAAAATTTTTCTTGTGCCCAAAATGAAGAGCTGAATGATCGAGTTCTCAGTTGAGGAGGTCGGTAGATGAATTGTAACGTAATGTAGACCGGAAAAGCCCAAAGTATCGGAGGAATACATCCCCTCAATATTCAGGGCCGAAAAATGATTCAAGAATGAAAACAATGTTTCCTCTGCTTGTCGCTTAATTCTTACTGTCTTTGACTTGAAAGGATTCTGACGATGGGTGAAGTCCAAAATAAGCCAAAAGAAGTACTTACTGGCTTTGTTTATCTCGTTCTTCGACTGTGAACGCGGAGAAAATGTACTACGGAAAATTCATGAACCCTTAAGATAGTAAGGTAAAGTTAATAAAAGCGTAACGAGTAGATTCTTAATTTGTAATTACTTCCATGTATTAAAATGGACCCTATGAAATGGAGTATAAATACATGGAATTAATGTAGTTTCCATTGTAAAGCTATTGAGAAGAAATCAACGAAATTTTATTTCATTAACATTTGGAGCACATCTTTATTATTTGTATTATACTGCCAATGGCTCTGCTTCTTGGAATTAGGAATTTGTTTCGAAACAAATGCAAGTAATATGGCAAGTATACACAATGCCCAGTCCCTTAAGAAAAATTTGTATCAGATAATTGAGATCTTATTGGATGTAAGGTTATGAAAGTGGTGACTATGAAGAGTGCGGCCTCCTGGTTAGTAGTTCCATGTTGTCTGGAAAATGTCCGACGCTTCAGAGGAATATATTTTCTCCATCTTCAGGATCTAAAGGAAAGTCAAGCAAGAAAACAATAAGAAATATGCAGCAAGCACAGCGATGTTAGTTTCGTGCTTGTTTTTTCTATTCAACCCCGAAAGCTGAGGCAATGTTTTAACCGTTCACTAGAACTAAGGTAAATTATGTTAATTAGAACAATTAAGTACAAGCTATAACTTATAAGTAAGGATTAAGCAATTAGTCACAGTTTTGTATTCAGATAGTAGTTTAGGCACATTCGTGCTGTGTGGACAGGATGTTGCATTCACTACGCTTCTCAGAACTTTAGCCGTTCGAGCTGCGGCAGCATTCCTTTCGAAATCTGAGAAATGAGAGCAAGTGCAAGCTTAACTCAAAGTGGGAGTGCACAGCCCACGCCAAGCTGATTACATATCACGAATTTTACAAAAGCGCCGTTGAGACTTCACGCAGCAAGTCAATATTATTGGGAAATTTAAATTTCCTGTGCCACCTCAAATTTTAAATTGGACCAGTAAGGCCTGTTTCAGGAAGGCAGTCTGGGCTCGAAGAAGCTCGCTTCCCCGGAGAGGTCATTTAGCAAATGAGTCGCTTTCAAAATTCAGAAGTGTGCAGACACCTGCAAAACTACTTCACAGGTCACATTGCTAAGTTCACTTATTAAAAGTAAGTTACGGAAATCAGAGTGGTAGAGCAAGAAACTCAGAATTAACAGGTGATCATTAAGTAAGTGAAGTGTCTGATTTGGCAATGAACGCAAAGTAAACAATAAGTAAATTCTTGTATGAAACTGAAATGTTGTTCGTGCAAAGTCCTTCCGGTCCTGCTGGAGAAAAGTCCGATCCCCCTAAGTTTAGAGTTCATCTCTACCAATCCCTAAGCAGGCCTGTCGACCTAGATACTTCACCTGAGTCGATCCCGCCTCACGTACATTTACTGCCCCCCCAAATCAGTCCCTACGTTCTAGAACAAGGTGCGTAATGTGGCTGGAGCGACGGGAGGTAGCAGCCCTGCAAAGTGAGAATCGTCCTAAAACGTGGAGCAGTCACGGGAGTGAGGCACCAATGTTTGTCTACTACAATACATTGCTCCGAAACGTTGGTCCCTTTCCAAAATACACGGCGATAAAAACAAGAAGACAATTACTCTCCAGCTTGTACCTCAAGAGCTTCGTTCTACATATGTACTATAGATGGACTACATCGAACTCCGACTTTCTTCCATAGATATCTCTTTCGAAGAAAACGGAAATTTTGCCGGGAATAAACGAAGGGTTAGAAAACGGAAAGAGCTCGGGGAATACTTGAACGTAAGCCAGTCATATGAATAACAAACTCGTAGAATAAAGTCCTCATCATCAAAGCGATTTATGACAGTGCTTGACCATGGTTTGGAATATCAATTTTACTTTACAGAGGGAAACTGCTAATTCACTCTGCAAATGTTTGTTCCCCCCCAACTTTGTATCTCACGTTTAATATAAGTCTTTATTAAATAAAAGCTCTCAAATATTGGTACTCTGAAACAAGTAGCCTGTCTGTAAACCTGAGAACACTTCTTTTTAAGGCAGCGAGATTAGATGAATTTCCAGAAAAGGTGTTATCATAAACTTAGATATAATTCTTTACTTTTATGTAAATACTTGAGTTCTCCATACTGAATTTCTCTATCATTTTCTCAGAATCTACAGAGAGGCCAAGAAATCAGTTTACTTTAAAAATTCTCTAGTTTTAAGATAAATGTTCTGATTTTATCCTGTCAGTGAATTAGTAGAACATTGTCATTGTTGTGAGTTGTGCATCGAAATTATAACTGACCCACTCAGTGAGGCTTCAAGCCCCACAAGTTGGTCTCCACCTACAACTGCCCTCTTAGTGCCCTTACGATGGTCTCCACTTTCATCCGCCGCTTCCTGTTGCGGTCTGGTTCAGGGTAGGGTGTGGGATTGCTCTGAATTTGAATTTGTGTGGGTGTCAGTGGACTTGGGTGAAATCGACGACTTTGGAACGGGGAAAACAAAAGGGGGGACGTGGATAGGCGGGTGTTTGTGGTTTCGACTGCTCAGACGGCAGGACGAGATTCTGTCTCAGGGCGACTTCTGGGCCTTGCTCACACAAGGAGAGAGAGAACACTTAAACTCACACTTCACCAACACTGTTTCTCTTTATTGTAGATGTGAACTAGAATTACACATTACAAGGTTGTAGCACTTTGAATTTGTGCACCGGACTCGGCCAACACCGATTTAACGTCCGGGAGATTGCTCCTGTTACTCCCTAAGACGACTGACTCCTCCGGAGAGGCAGAAGTCCTGACGGTTCCGCGAACGCCCGGTTTCCTCTCTTCTGAAAATTTTGTTGATTGGCTGAATCTAAAATTTGGTTGTTTCTCTCATTTACATCCCGCCAATCCCTAACAAGATCCATGTTAATTGGGCCTAAGTACAAGACGGTCCTTGTGACAGCTCTCGAATAAATGAAGGTACGCTAACGATGGCTCACTACGCCCCTTCGAAAATTATTGCGACTCGTATCTGTCAAGTCCCAAATTTTCAAAGCCTCGCACCGCCGAAGTTAAGCATTGATATTCCCAGAAAACGCAGCGGGATACTTCCTGCTCGGTCCTGCGTTTTCCAGTGACCTCAAGCTTGCTTGTCCCTCAGAAAGACCAGATGTCGTTCTCGGAGCCCGCTGGTGCTGGGGTCAATTGTTTATCATCTTTTGTTAACAGTAATACAGTTCGTTTACTGGTAGTACATTGTAGTTAAGAATGTAAATGAACAACATTGTTGAGGTTCCTGCATGGTGCGGTTACAAAATGGAGGATCTTATATACAATCTTTCTTCTAAATTCAGCAAGTAATAAAACCGTTTCTAGAGTATTTTAAATGTACATTTTTCTAAACACGCAACTGACTTTTGAGCTACTCAGTGTTTAAAATATATATGTAGGAATTGCGAAAATTTGTGTACAATTTTCTAAACACTAGCAAATACAGGTGTCCGGATGAAAGGTATTCAAAATAAAATAATTATATCTCAGAAAGCATTTATTATACACATTTATGGGTTACACCATTACAAAGAGTAACTATCAAAGTTTTTTCTGAGTATACAACTTTCTCAATAAATTTCAAATTTCAATTTGTAGCACTATGCTACAATCCGGAAGGTCGCGGGACCGAATCATGATGAGGTCATTGGATATTCTTCAATTGACTTCATCCTTCCAGCCGCACTATGGTCCTGTGGTCGACTCAGCTTCTAACAGAAATGAGTACCAGGAATATTCCTGGTGGTAAAGGGCGGCCGGCGCTTAAGGCTGACAACTTCACTGCCATCTGTAAGCCGATTGTCTAGAAAATGTGAGAGCCTGAACTTCTCACAACGCTATGCGCCTCCACGGCCTGTTACAGGAGAGCTTTACTTTTCTTTTACTTTACTATAATAGGGAACCGTGATAGGACAGTCAGTTATGTCGGCTGGTTACGGGTTGCACGGCTTGGGATCGGAGTTCGAGTACAGGTAGGAGTAAGATTTCTCTTCTTTCTAAGTCGTCCAGACCGGTTCTTTGCTCACCCAGACTCATATCCAAAGTGTACGGGGGGCTATTTCCTCGGAGGTAATGTGGCAGGGGCTTGAAGCTGACCACTCACCTAGGGCTGAGTCGTGAATAAAATCCTCTCTCACAGAAGTCTTCATGACGCAGTGCGTAACTAGTAAAACACATGGGCATATTTATTTTGTTTTGCCTTTACGTGACTCTGTTATATACTGCAGTCAATGATAGATGCATGTAGGTGCTTCTAACCTTGTCTTGTCAAAGCAATGTCGGAAATTATGTTATGTATAATAGGCACATAATCAGCCTTAAAATTTCTGTTTGGTAGTCATTTGCGGAATTTCCGTTTTGGCTTGTGTCAGTGGAAGCATTCATCATTAATACAAACAGTGCTTTGG